CCTCCCCTCCCCAGAAATCAATAAATAATTATTAACAATAAAAAAACTGAACTCTTAACTCTGACGGCAGGTAAGAGTTCAGAGAACACATGTGACCCTCCCCCTCCCCAGAAATGAATAAATAATAATCAACAATAAAAAAAACTGAACTGTTAACTCTGGCGGCAGGTAAGAATTCAGAGAACACATGCAAACCCCCCCGCCCCACCCCAGAAATAAAAAAATAATGATTAAACATAAAAAAACTGAACTCTTAACTCTGACGGCAGGTAAGAGTTCAGAGAGAACATGTAACCCCCCCCAGAAACGAACACATGTAAACCCCCCCCCTGCCGTCACCATAACAAAATAAATAATGATCAACAATAAAAATACTGGACTCTTAACTCTGAAGACTATTAAGAGTTCAGAGATAACCCTAGAATCCGACATAGAATCCGACATAACCCCAACTCTGACCGAACTCTGAACTTTTTCTGAAATCATGGAAATATTCAAGAGTTCAACTCTGAAGTCAGTCCGCTAGGGAATGCACCCAATTAGTCCTTGATACCTCAAGTCATTGAAAAATAAATCATGTTGGTTTTTTATAAGAAGTTTTTACACTTTTATTCTATCTATAGATTCTATAAACATATATTCACGTTCGAAACGAACATTATGAAATCGGGTAGATTGGTAATATAAACATAACAAAATGCATTTCATTCTTACCTGTAGTTATCCAATTTTTGTAGTTGTCCTGCTGTTACACTATCGAAAAGAAATTTGCTATCTAAGCGATCACAGATTCCGTCGTTCGGAGCCCCAGGGTATGAAAAAATGATTGTATTCTCTCCTGGTGCGGAGAGTCTTCCACCGAAAGCCTCGAAAAACACGTTTTCCAGTCATGCCCAAAATTCCAATTGATAAAAATAAATTAAATGGTGAGAATTTTATACCTCAATAATCTCAGCTATTTCGCGAATGTGAACATCGGTGTATCCATACAAATTAAATTCCATCGGATAACCGTTCATGTAAAATAGCTCGTAATTGAATAGCGGCTTCATTAATTCTGGAGACAGCAATTTACAATAGCGAACGCAGTTGGAACTTCGAAATTATGATTATTTTGCTTTCGTAGTCCTATAATCACGGGTCATGCGAAAGATGAAAGCAAAGTATATGTGGATTTATAATTCAGAAATAAGATATTCAGAATTCTCAGAAGATGGCAATACATCTTGTCCTCAGGATTTTTGCTACAAGCCAGTCAATGACCTTGAATACATACAGTCCCCAATCTCCCACGAAATATTCACATATTCTATCGTGAAACTTGGATAAAAAATTATAACAACGATTTAACATACGTTCTACATATGATCAACTTCAAGGATGAAACAATGAATATTATTATAAACTAAAACTAATCAAGTAAAGATGATGGATCTTTCGCAGATTTAGACATCCACCTATTTTCTTTCCAAAAAACTCCATTAGTATTAGTTATTTCATTGAAACGTGCGGAGTAAAATCGTAGAAAAAGTTGATATTTATTCATTTAGAGAGATCGAATACGAATTATGAGTTGTGCGATTGAAATACGTATGAATGAATGAAGTTGAACAAAATAAATTAAGCAAACTTAGAATAAATTCTGTTCTCCTGGAATAGATCGAAGATAATGCCATTATGTTAATCTGTTATTCTTCTGAAAGTAGATTATCATGTTTTTCGCCTTCTTGAACGATTGAACTCTGCCAGTATTTTTGGATCATGAATGTATTTGGCCACGTCATGCTGGAGATGATCGAAGAAGAATTTTTGCAAGTTGCCTGCTGTTCTCTGGTGCTCTGGGAATATCTAAAAATGAAAAACATCGAATTGAAATGATGTTATTAGACGAATGGGAACATTGTCGAAAATACATTTCATGGTGTCGCCTCAGATTGATGTTAAATTCAACCAAGAATAGGGTAAAATGGACGGCCAGATGTTTAGAAAGATTTTTCAATAATTGTTAATGTGATTGGAGTGCTGTCAGATCCAAAATAGTTCTTCGAACTCGTATCAACAATTACTTTTTCAATCAACTTTCTTAGAATTACTCTCACATTTACTTGGTAAATTCCCCTGAAATTTGAAAACGCAAATCATTTTTTGTAGTAATTCGGACATCCCCGATCGGAGGATTAATACCGTTGTCGCGGGAGCACACTCTCGTTCCAGCTCTCGTGGTGTAAACCAAAGTTTTGTTTGCTGTGAATAAATTGTAATACGATATATAATAATTCCGAGTGTTATACCTTACAAAACCCTTCGGTCTTTACCGAATATCCCACATTTTTTTCTTCTTGATGCTTCTATTTTCTAAAATGGACTACTATTATTACAAATATTATGAGAAATGGAGAATATGTTCACTTAAATACAAATTTTTTTTATTTTTTTATTCGTGTTTCTTTCCTACTACCATTACGGTTTTATAGGCTCCCCATTCGTCTGCCTTGCCTCTCCCACTGCTCTCTTCTGATTTTTTCTGCGTTACCATGGGCCGTCTTACTCTTAACTGTACCCCATTCGGGCTAGGACTGCAAGGGAAACCATGGAAAACCCCAGTCGTACAGCCGGGCGAAAATGCAGGGATTCAACTGTGTCCACTGGTCACACTAACTCAATGGGCACAGTGGTTTTCTACATTGGTGCCTAGCGACTGTAGTCCCACGCGGTTAGGTGTGCCTAAGCGGACACACATCCACGTACTGGGCAGACTGAACTGGACTGAACGCTGCTTAACTTGGATGACCGCCGGAGCCACACACTCCCCGCGTGACCACTACAGTCACGTAAATACAAATTATACACTTACAATTTTCTCTCTATCGGACTTATTTGTTAATCTTTATTGAAAATACTCATTGAAAATGCACAGTTTTGATTCTACTTTTTTTGACTGTACAATCATAATTTCCAGGGACTCCTGCATGATGTAAAATTCCATGGAAATTGTGATATATTTTAGATCGTGAAGAAGGAAAAACAATCGACATAACGTTCAAAACATAATTCATCCAGGCCATAATCGTTCAATTGCATACAGTTTAGTGAAATAGATGTCCAAACTGGGTGCATCTAATGGTTAACATACTCGATTTTTCAATTTTCATTTTGTTCCATTTATCCATTTTACCCTGGGTTTCCCTACAAAATTTGACAAAAAAAGAATCTATTCTTTCCACTCACCTTGCCCTCCATTTCCACCCAAATCTCCTTATCACGTACTCTCGAAATGACATTGTTCTCAATCAAGTATTTCAAAATTTTTTCCTTCTCGACTTCCGTGTACCCTGGAGGGAGCCTTCAAGAAAAAAAATAACTTATAAGTTATCACCTTTCCAGAACGTTTGACGCGAAATTTCATCTTCATGTTCATCAACCGTATCTAATTTCTTGGATGGACAATTTTCTTTAACAATTCATGACATATTCACGACATTCTTACTGACAGAAAACTAATGATTTCGTACCTTCGCCAATTTTCATCGCGCTTCCGGAATTCTTCCAACATTACAGGATCATCGATGTACCGATCAACATAGAATCTCAAATTCTTCATGTAGTGGGTCAATATGGAAAGCGCTGAGCGATACGGATTCATTAGAATCTAGAATGAGGAAGAAATTGAGAAATGCAATTTACTCAAGAGGGCGAACCAAAAATTATTGAAATATTACGTGTTTTGATTCCATTTCCTGCCAAAATGTTAGATTCCTCGACCTGTCGATGCCATTATTGTCGATGATAAACTTAATCATGAGACGCTCTTCATCTTCTGACCACTGGTTCCAAGCGTTCCTTGAAAAGTAAGAAATAATAAAAACTCCAACAGGATGTAGTTTTGCCATTAATTCATAAGCATAGGCACCTGAATGACATCTTCAATCAGTTAATGTTACTATGTTCGTCATGAAACGTAAAAGTAGATTGTTGAGTTTTCAGAGTTTACACGTATGAAAAAATCGTATGGAAATTTTCTATACGGATTGCGTATAAAAATTCTATAGAATTTCCGTATATGATATTCGGATATTTCTATACGAATTATTTCTATACATAAATTTTTGTTTTCATACGAAAGATGTCTAAACGCTCCAGAAAAAAACGTAGAGAAATGTCGCAACTCCATACGAAATTTTTCTATACATGTGGCAGTGGGTCGTATAGGATCCAACCTATAGAAATCGTATAGAAATAATTTGTATAAAAAATATCCCTATAGAAATATCCGAATACCATATACGAAAATCCTATAGAAATTCTATACGGGGTATTCCATGTGAATTCACCCAGGTCAAAACCCTCACCATCGCCAATCATATTGCCGATTTTTCCTGTGGTTGTATATGGAAAAATATGACTTCTTAATTTTTTTTAGATTTTTTGAGGCATCCTGTGGACAGCCATGTTTTTTTGTAAGTTTTATCTTCAAATGCCTGTAACTTCCGTAAAAATCAACCGATTTGAGTTTTTTTTACAAAATGTGCGTCTTCGAACACACTTTCCATATAAAAATATGCCAATTTTTCTCAATTCGTCCTTCCATCGAATCCCTTAGAAAGACCTCAAAAAACTTCAAAAAACGAATCGTTTTCAAAGTTGGACCCTTTTTATATTTTTCAAAAAATTTCAGTGAATATATTGAACCAAAATAAAATTTTTCACCAAAGGCCAAAGTGGACTTCCCATTTCGTGACCGTCATTTCCAATTGGAATATATGAATCCGGGATGAAAAATTTCAAAAATTTCAAAATTCTTTTCGCATTTGAACGCAGAAGCAATACTTGAATTTACCGCCTGAAGAATCACTGCATTATATTCGAATCTGGAACAATTTGATGATTTTTTGAAAATTCGTTAACAATAAATCTTTCCGAGTGGTGTGTTCTAGTAGAGATCCCACTTTGGTCTTTGGTGAAAAATTTTATTTTGGTCCAATATATTCACTGAAATTTTTTGAAAAATATAAAAAGGGTCCAACTTTGAAAACGACGCGTTTTTTGAAGTTTTTTGAGGATTTCCTGAGGAAATCGATGGAAGAACGAAATGAAAAAAATTGGCATATTTTTATATGAAAAGTGTGTTCGAAGACGCACATTTTGCAAAAAAAAAACTTAAATCGGTTGATTTTTACGGAAATTACAGGCATTTGAAGATAAAACTTGCAAAAAAACATGGCTGCCCACAGGATGCCTCAAAAAATCTGAAAATATTTGAGAAGTCATATTTTTCCATATACAACCACAGGAAAAATCGCCAATATGATTGGCGATGGTGAGGGTTTTGACCTCGGTGAGTTCACGTGGAATACCCCATACGCAATCTGTATAGAACATTTTTATACGATTTTTTCATATGTGTACACGGATGAAAAAATTTCAGAACAAAAACCTAGGGAATTCGCTAAAAAATTTTATTGGATTTCGATTGAACTTTCGATTAATTTTTGACCGTTTCTACTAAAATGTTTAATCTAAAATAATCTATGGAAAAAATCAATAGAATTCAAATTTTCTATACATTCATTCTATACAATCTCCTCGGCTCAAATTTTCCAAGTTTTTTCATTCGATTTTCTTTATGAAAAGAACAGAAAAATAGAATTACATAAACTTTGAAAATTAGAGCGGAGGAAAATTTATAGAAAATATTTCAATAAAATAAGTTGTATAAATAAATCGACTTATATTAACATTTTGTATAGAATATTTTCTATTGAACATTTCAATAGAATCGGCCACAAGCTACTAGAAAGTTCAATAGAAACCCAATTGAATTGTCTAGCGAATCCAGTCGTTTTTTTTAATGAAATTTTTTCGTGCGTGCATGGATAGAGTATAAATATGAAAAATTCTGGAAACAAATATGAGCCAGACGATCTCAATTCTAATTAGCAGTCAACATCATGAAAATGATGTGTGTATGTAGTCATAAATGGAATTGTCAAAGACCACTTCATGGCATTGATGTTCAGGTATGACATGTGTCATTTGAAATGAGACGTCTCGAAAACCTGAAGAAGCCAAAATAATTGGTGAAACGTCGAACTTATGCCAATGTAATTAGTAATGCTATTCTGTCTCCAACATTTCTTTCACTAATGGCCAAGATGGAAATGACCATAATCGCCAATTGAGAGTGAAGTTTGTCTCAATCGCTTATTGTTCAAATTGTTCACTCGTTATTCGTTTCCTCATTGCTAGATCTTTCGATCGATGGCAACAGGAAAGCTAATACTTGCAACAACTTCAAGTAGTTAGTGTTTGATATTGAGAGTGACGACAGATTATTGAACCCTGGAAATGCGTTGACAGAATAATTTATTTGTTAAGGAGAGACTACTATGCATTTAAAAAGTCGCAGGATATCGCACTGAGATTTCTCGTATATTGAAGATCGATTATATATATCTAAAAACAAATAATTAGTACAAAAAAATTGGCCTCCAATTTTTAAGTTAAAGAAATTTTTTTTTAATTTTTGGAAAATGTGTGCAATAACAATTACGAATTAGTTTTTTTGAAATGCAACTCCTGCACAGCTAATTTTATTATTTTTGCTTCCGAATGGAAGCATTGCAATCGTTCGATTTGTACATTTTCTAATTTTACTTGGAAATGATACAGAATGGTCTGAAACGTAAAAATACGAAGTTTGGGGACCATGTCTATGCGTAACACTGTCCAGTCGGTGGTCATTTTTTCGCAAATTTGATAATTAAACGGGAAAAATCATTCCAAAAAGTTTTTAATGTTTTCAGTTAATTGGTATAACTTGAGACTAACTCCATGCCAAATTTCTGCTTGATCCTTCCATTAGTTTTTGAGCAATAGCCATTCGTTTTTTAACCTTTTCTCGCAAATATCTCGGAAAATACCCAACCGATTTCAATAATTTTTTTTTCAAAATATTCGGCATGATGTCCTCTATCTAAATCAATCAAAATATATATACCCGTTCATACAAAGTTTTTGAGGTATTTGGATTTTTCTGTTTTTAACTTGAAATCCTTGTTCGCGCCCTAACATGAGTTACAATTTAGACATTGACTTGAAATTTGGCATGAAGCTGTCTCTGATCATTGCAAGGACCGGTATGGAAGATGGGCTCAATCGGTCAATTAGTTTCGGAGATATTCAACTTTGTATGTAAACTTAATGTCTTGAATATCTCAATAACGAGTCAACCGATCTCAATGATTTTTTTCAAAATATTCGGCTTGATGTCCTCTATCTCAATCAATCAAAATATATATACCCGTTCATACAAAGTTTTTGAGATAGTTAGATTTTTATGTGTTTGACTTGAAATCCTTGTTCGCGCACTAACTTGAGTAAAAATTGAGATATCGACTTGAAATTTGGCATGAAGCTCCCGCTTTACATTGCAACAGTTTATATTGAAGATGGACTCGAGCGGATTATTTGCTTCGAAGATATTCAACGTTGTATGTGAACTTCATTTCTTCAATATCTCAATAACGAGTAGCCCAATCTCACATTCGTACTATTTCCTTTTATTCAAGTTCAACTTAGATTAGAGCTAACTTCATTCATGCTTATTCTAAAATATTATGGATTAAATTTTCTTTTGCTTCCGAATGGAAGCTTTGTAATCGTCCGATTTTCCCATTCTCTAATTTTCATTGGAAATGATGTAGAATGGTCTGAAACGTAAAAATACAAAGTTTGGCGACCATGTCTGTATGTGAATATGTCCACTGCCACCTTCCCGATGTTCAATTTTTACAAAATTGAGTAATTAAGTGGCTAAAATAATTTTTAAAAAAATTGAAATTTTGTCAGATTATAGGTCTTAATGAGGACTAACTCTGTGCACAATTTCAGCCTGGTCGGTCAAGTAGTTTTTTAGATAAAGCGATTCGTTTTTAAATCGTTTTTCACTAATATTTTTAAAATTATTGGACGGATTTAGATTTATTTTTTTCAAAATATTCGTCTCGATGTCCTCTACCTAGATCAACAAAAACATATATACCCGTCCATACAAAGTTTTTGAGATATTGCCCTTTTTCTGTTTTTTTATTAAAATCCTTGTACGCACGCTAACATGTGCAAAAATCGAGATATCCACTTGTTTTTTTCAAAACACTTGTCTCGATGTCTTCTATCTAGGTCAATCAAAATATATGTATCCGTTTATACAAAATTTTGGAGATTCATTTCAATTAATCAACTCCCTATAAGCGATTTTTCGAAAAAAGGTAACTGCTATGGATCCATTAGGAAGCTTACTACCAATGGAATTGGTAGAAATAAAAAATTAAAATACAAATAACACATAAAGCAACAGTCACATGCCTTCTGCAATATAGGAGCGGTCAACTGCTTGTTTAATAAAAAATTGCACCATTCATGTAAACTAGTCAGAAAAATATTTCTGAAAGAATCGTGAATGTATTTTTTAAATATTTTAAGAATTATTTTTCTGCCTATTTTACATGAATGGCGCAATTTTTTTCTGAAAATGTTCAGTTTTTTTCCTACTTTGTTTGATTGTACAACCATAATTTGTAGGGACTCCAACGTCATGTAAAATTCAATTGAAATTGTGATATATTTTACATTATGAAGATGGAAAAACAATCGAGATAACGTTCAAAATTAGCTGTGCAGGAGTCAAATTTCAAAAAACTAATTCGTAATTGTTATTGTACACACTTTTTCAGTAATTTTGAAAAAAAAGAAAACCTTTAAGCGTCTGCGGGGGAAACGAACAATAAACAATAAATTTTTTTGCACTAATTATCCGTTTTTAGACACATATAATCGATCTTCAATGTATGAGAAATCTCACTGCAAAAGCCCACGACTTTTAAAACCCATAGTAGTCTCCTCTTAAAGAACTGATCTATCAAGGTCTATTTAGCCTCATTGGTTACATTGATGTTCAGGTATGACATGTGTCATTTGGGATTCGTGTTGGTAAAAGTAGGAGATTCTCAATTGAAACGCGACTGTTCTCCAGGACCTGAAGTAGGTAAAATAATTAGCGAAACATCACATTCATGAAAAATTGACTGGTATTGGTTTTCCTTTTCTAACATTCCTTGACCTTTTTACCGAAATTAACCAACATATTGTCGAATCCATGGATTCAATAGTTGTACTGTTATTTCATTTTTAAAATTTTCATTGTGATTTGCACCCCTTTGGCTCTACGCCGACGATACTTAATGTCAACTATATAGAGAAATGTGATACATGTGTGTTATCTGAAACTGTTTGACCTTATAAATGTTCTAGGTTATTGGGTTTCTAATAAACAACTATTAATAATAACATGAACATGGCTACAATGGCACAATCGATCATTGTTTAAAGTATTCGCTCCTCATTAAGCATTATTAAGAGAATGCTCTTATTAATGCTAACAGAAGAAGAAATATTTGCAATAACTTCCAAAAGTTACTGTTTAATATTAAGAGTGAAGAGAAATTATTGAATCATTAAACTATGGATAAAGAAAAAGTGTAAAGATTCCTGGAAACGTAGATCATTTTAATTCCAATTTAAAATCGACCTGATAAAAATGATGATTCATTGTTAATGATTTGAGTTGGGAAAAACATTTTTTTTGCATTGAGGCTCATATGACACGTGGTATTTATGATAATTTAATTAATGTAGCTCTTCTCTCCTAATATGCTTTGACTTTTCACTAAAACCAACCAACATGGAAATACAATCAGGAGGAGGAAATCACGATCATTTTTCAAATTGTTCACTTTTTCACAATACTCACAGTCGTCTCTTCTTGGCTGTCAGCCCACTCTCCTCACTGGAACTATCAGAATAATCTTGACCATCAGCTCTCTTTCTCTTCAATGCTCCTATCTGCTGTTGTTCCAAACTCTTGTCTCCTAAAGTAGAGGAATGCGCTCTCATCTTCTCCTTGCTAATGCTGCTCCTCTTCTTCTTCACCATTCTGTTATTATTGAATTCAGATGATTCGGAGTCAGCAGCGGCACTACACGAGCTCACGTTATCGTTCTCCGACATCTGCTGTATGGATTGCGCTCTGTTCCTCTCATGCATATCCGCGTAAGATGATACTGAGACTATCTTCCATGGTTTCAATAAGCTTGGGTATGGATTCGTGGTGGTGGAAGCGTTAGCAGGATGATCGGACATTGAAGTTTCATGGTCCGAGGGCTCGATGAACTCCTCTTTAATCAGAGGAATCCTAAACATGTTCCATTGTAAAGATATTGATGAATTTCAAAAACATTAAAAAATTGATAGAACATCCTCAGGGTTTTGTCAGGAAACGATCAACAATTCTTTCATTGGGGGAGATACATCCGCCGAGTCAGAACTGTACACGGCACAGATGTGTACACGGAGCGTTACTGTGCACAGCAGAACTGTCCACAAATGAAATAGTGCACGGGCGAAACTGTCCACGAGGACGAAGTGTCCACAACGCGCCAAGCCGATAAACCAGCATCGGTATTGTAGGAATCGAATACATTTATTACCTATAGAATAAAATTGTCAGTAACAATTTCCGTTACCTGATGGCGCTATAAGACTGGAAAGATTATTTTCGTGAAATAGCCAGGGCTGTACTACCTGAACTCTTAGGTAAAAACTGAGTCGTGGACCCTAATAGGAGCTAACTGCATAATTGTTTGCCTCATTAACTCAAATGACAGGCCTAGAGTAATTACTATTATCATTTCATACATGAATGAGAACCGCAAATTAATTTGTTGATCAAATAATCATTAATCAGGATGGCCAATTATCTGATTGTCGGATCAATCCTCAACCATCACAAAAAAATGATCGATTCTTCAATCCATAAATAATTAATAACGTAGACTTCCTAATTACTTTGATAATTGTTCATTCAATTACAAAGTTATTAAATATCAAATTAATTGGTTATTTCAACAATTAATTATTTATTATTATGATTAGTAAACTGATTAATGGATCTGTTTGATTTTTTTATCAATTATTTAAAGAGGAATTAATTGAATCTGGGAATTTCTGATTAACCCTGATGATGATGAATTTCGGATTAGAAAAAAATCAATTATTTAGTCAATGAATCATTTCTATGGAGAGATTTTCAATTATTTACCCAACCATCAATTGAAGACCATAATTATGCAATATTCCGATCAATTGTCAATTATTCCAAGACCACTTTCGATGCTTCAAACAATTCGTGATCGAAACGAAATAAACTATCATTAAAGAATTGACGCCAGGAATTTTTTGATTATTTCATTATTGGATAATTATCGCTGCATATTACAAAGTTATCCAATAATTCAAACCGTGCAAACTTTATCAATTTTAAGACTTCATCGTGGGAAAACCCCTGGACCGATTCATTTCAGTGATATTCTGATATCGTTAATCACAATTACATAATTCATTCGTGAAAAATCCTTGTCTGAGAAATTTTCATTTTTTTCTCCAGGACACTTTGGAAAAACCACTGGAGGGATTCACTTCAAAATGAAATCAGGTCTAAATTACATGAAGACCTTCCGATTGTGTTATCGATCATCTTGATCGCACAATTCATTCGGAAGAAATTGTCACCCCCACACAATAGGTATTTCGTTCAGATGGGTTTAAAAAAGTTTTAAACACCCTAAAACATGGAGAAATGGTAGTAAAATCTAATGATTCATTTTCGAGGTGATTACAGTAACTACTCGGTAGATTGGGAAGTTGTAAATGGTTAATTTTAATGGGCGATTAACTGGATAATTAAATAATCAATGGTTGAAATTATCCATTAATCAGTTTACTAATCATAATAATAAATAATTAATTGTTGAAATAACCAATTAATTTGATATTTAATAACTTTGTAATTGAATGAACAATTATCAGCGTAATTAGGAAGTGTACGTTATTAATTATTTATGGATTGAAGAATCGATCAGTTTTTTGTGATGGTTGAGAATTGATCCGACAATCAGATAATTGGCTATCCTGATTAATGATTATTTGATCAACAAATTAATTTGCGGTTCTCATTCATGTATGAAATGATAATAATAATTACTGTAGGCCTGTCATTTGAGTTAATGAGGCAAACAATTATTCAGTTAGCTCCTATTAGGGTCCACGACTCAGTTTTTACCTAAGAGTTCAGGTAGTACAGCCCTGGATATTTCACGAAAATAATCTTTTCAGTCTTATAGCGCCATCAGGTAACGTAAATTGTTACTGACAATTTTATTCTATAGGTAATAAATGTATTCGATTCCTACAATACCGATGCTTGTTTATCGGCTTGGCGCGTTGTGGACACTTCGTCCTCGTGGACAGTTTCGCCCGTGCACTATTTCATTTGTGGACAGTTCTGCTGTGCAGAGTAGCGCTCCGTGTACAGATCGGTGTCGTGTACAGTTCTGACTCGGCGGATGTATCTCCCCCCTTTCATTTTTTACCCATTATCATCGAAAAAAAATCCGATTGGAAGACAAATTGATTAGTTTTATTTCCCAAGTTTCTTTTTTGTTTCCGAATGGAAGTAAAACTTAGTTACCTGTACCAGGGTTACCAGATTTTGGCTATTTATAGCCAAAATCTGTACAGTTTTAAATGGAGTGACGTCACGATCTGGTAACACTGACCTGTACTGCTCCAGATCCTGAAATCTCCTAGCCACAATACTGTCATGCAGGCATTGAATATGATATCGACAATAATCCATTGTAACCGGACGACCAGGCTCTGAGAAGATTATTGTGTTTTCATCCGGTGTCGATAATTTTCCACCGAATGCCTGGTGAAAAATATTCATAGCCGTAAAATGAAATCGATATGTCTCTTCAATAAGGAACTTGCGAGTTTTGAAAATTTTTTAAATGATTAATTTTTCATATGCGAGGGAAATTGTGTTGGGGAGGCGAGGGAAGATGGACACTTCTGACGTTTTTTGCAATTTGAGCTCAATGTAGGTTTGTCAAAAAGAATTGTATTTTTCATGCAAAAAAATTATCCCATTTCGTTAACAATTCTATGAGTAATTAGTATTTCTCAGAAAGTTGAAAGTGTTTTCGCCCCGCTCTCCCCTAATTTTTTAGACTGATGGGGTAACAATCAAAATCAATATTTCCAGTAATTAAGAACAATGAGTTGCTGTAGCCTTGACAGAATAAAACAAATTTTTTTTGAGCATTTTAGAGATTTATTTTCAAAAGGTCATCTACTCGAAGACTCAAAAATAAAAATAGAGGATAATGTGAAAAAATATGATGAATTCAATGATCAAATAAAAAACTGGGATACTCAGGCAAATAATGCAGATATTAAAAATTTTAAACTCCGCATAACCTCCCGCTAACGCCGACATTCGGTGCATATTGTTTATTTTATTTTTAATTAATTAATTGATCACTTTAAGTTATTAATTAATGCAAGTTTTTTCAATGCCCGTGTTTGGATAAATATACTTAAATCGTTAATATCACTAGACCAAATGGTGCAGTTAATATGAGTGAGGGCTCGTTTTGGAGTTTAAACAATGACTTTCAGAAAGATAAAAAGGTTGTTGAATTTTACTCTACCGATTTTGAGTTATTGATGATTAAGAACGGCGTATTTTATTCTCACACTCTCATGTTTGTGTTTTTAATGTCATGTACTCACTTCTATAATCCTAGCAATCTCATTAACCTCATGGTTATTGTAGCCGTCCAAATAGAACTTCATCGGGCGTTTGTTTATTGTGAACAGAGATGGATTAAAAAACGTAGCTCCATAGGAATTCATTCTGTTCTAACAACAAACTCTCTTTGTTATCTAACCTTGAAAAACGTCGTGGCTCTCATTGTGATTGCACGTATGTAATTTAATTCATTAGTTTTTTTGCTCTCGATCGTATGAGAGTTTTCTCGAAGAGCTACCGGCTGAACTGACAACAAATGACGCACACAGTCACAGATGGATCACCAATGCGTGGAGCATAGAGATGCAAATGCGTCACATGACCCGTCATATGACGGTCATGCGACCGTCATTGACGGGCCCGAGGCGAAGCCGAGGGCTGCCAACTTCACACTCATGAAAATTCCCGACTCACATGTGTCGAACAATAGTTTTTGACAGTGATGTTACGTTCAGCGAGTGGCGAACTGTGCCTCTCTTCGTTTACTAGTAAACGAAAAGACTTTTCGTTTACGATTTTGTACTTTTCGACACGAGGTGAATGTAGCAGCAGTGTCAAAAAAAACATTTATGACGCGCCGTGCAATGAGTCGAGTTTATCGCACGCTGCGCTTCGCGCAGCTTGCTCGACTTCTGCACGACTTGACATAAAATATTATAGAGCACTCGGTAATAAATTTCGTTTTCAACGAATGTGTGTATAGACCTCGCCTTCGGCTCGGCCTGTAAACTACACATTCGTTGAAAACGAACTTTGTGCCCTTGTACTCTAATGTACTATTTTTCACGAGTTACGAACTAGTATATTTCGTAACGAGTGCAAAAAAGTGTTTTTTGGCGAGTGGGAGGTTTATATCACGAGCCGAAGGCGAGTGATATAATCCCACGAGCTAAAAAACATTTTTTCACGAGTTACGAACAATATTTTTCATCACAATGTGGCGGAAATTGGACTTTTAGGCACGCGGAGCGTGCCGAAAAGTTCACTTTTTGTCACAGCGCGATGAAAACTATTGTTCGACACATGTGAGACGGGAATTTTCAGCTCATGTGATTGGCAGTCCTCGGCTTCGCCTCGTGCCGCCAACTTCACACTCGTGAAAATTCCGTCTCACTCGTATCGAAATATACTATTTCACGAAATCAGTGATCGTGCCATCAATCTAGAAATATTATTTCAGGACGGCGCTTAAATAAAAACGGTGATGTGGTGGTTTGGTGGAACCCAGATGCCATTGATAAATATCAAGAGAGAGCACAATGTTTCATCAATCAGTTCAATAATTATGCAATATATGATGATGGAAAGGAAGTCATTCATGTAAGTTTCACGATATATTTCTTTGTCTATTCATCACCGGGATTTTACCGACAATATGTCAACGCAGTTGTGAAGATGTAAGACGAAATTAATGAAATTGAAAAATGCTGCTGATTCTGTATCAATCTGGATAATACAAGTTTTCAGGACAAAATGTCAAGAGATATCTTCTGCTGCTGATGTGGATCCCTACGAAGATCTCTCTTTGAACATTTCCCCTGAGATATGGGATATCATTTCTGTCGTGAATTGGTAAACCAGGATAACTGCTTTTCGCTACGGGTCAGTTATTGATAAATATCTTGCAAATGGACATAGATAGAGAAATTTTTATGAGAAGCTTGTTTGAAACGCAACTAAAATTCCAGAACATTCTGGTCGACCATCGGCCTACTTCGAAAATCTCCGGGACCCTTCGGGTCATCAGTCATAAGTCACCGAAACACGCGCGAATCAGTTTAGGCTTAGCCTCTCACCGTACAAGTCTATCTCGGGCAAATCACCTGTACAAGTTTTATATCGCACCTCACCGAGTACAGTAGCTCTTTGAACCTCATCTAGCTCACTAGTAATCAAGTACATCACCGGTCTTTGTAAGATCACCGTTTTGTTCAGTACATCACCTCTGTTGATTAAATTCAGTTTACATTCAGTGACTCAACGAATTAACAGTGAAAGACAATTATCAGTATAATTAGACATTCAAGAATTGAATTACCAAAGAATGTAAATAGTTTTGACAAAGTGGTTCGATCCCACAAAATAAAGTGTGATATTTTAAATCCGGCTCATCAGTAATTTTCCCAACATCTCCCTCCACATTTTCATCCCACATCCACCCTAAAGCTAGTCATTCACCAAACAATGCTTTTTTGTAGCTGATATTTCGCTCTATAGAAACGATTTAGATGAAAATTTCGCCATCTTTCTTCATTTCCGAGATATTCATCGATAATTGGTCCTAAGCAAAATGCACTTATCCTGGTTTACCAATTCACGATAGATTTGTTATCAGGATAATATAATATATTGTCTTTCTCCTCGATAAATCGCAAAATATTGTTTCAGTTTAATGGAACTTTGACGATGGGAGAGAATTTATCGGATTCTGAAGGGCTGATAATTGCTTGGAATGCCTACCAGACAGACCGTAAGAAAAAGGGAACTAGTAGTGCGAGGATTCCCGGTTTGGAGAAATTTACTGATGATCAACTATTTTTCCTTGCATATGGAAATGTAAGTTGTATAGAACTTGATATTATGCATCAATCATTCATTTCGATTGACCATGAGCTGTTTTAATGTTGTCAATTTGTTTACTTTTAGACATGGTATATAAATCAGAGCCCCGCGTACCTCAAGAAAAATGGTAACACCGATGAACACAATCCAAACAAGCAGAGAGTTAATGGTCCTCTATCCAATAATGAAGCTTTCGCTGCCGCTTTTAATTGTCCAGCAAATTCGCCTATGAATCCCATGAATAAGTGCAGCATTTGGAAATGAACTAAATTTCAATTGTAAACGATGAAAAAGTAATTGTTCTGAATTCTTGGAGAAATAAAATATTGCAATTAAAATGAATATTGTAATTCGTATAATCCAGGGACTTGATTTTTTTTACATTTGATATTATGTTGTATAGTTGGTGAAATGTATTATATTCCAATCTTACTCTCCAAATTTTGGACCTGCCATACCGGAGTTTTATTTGCTTCTAAAATAAACGTGTTGACCAATAAATTGTCCTGTGCAAGGTTCTGGGTGGCTTAACTCGCAGCAAAAATTTTGATGTTCGAATCTACGAATTAAAATCTTCGAAATTTCAATTATTCCCAAAATTTCTCCATTTATTTTCAATTGGATTTCACATGCTAAATAAGTGCTGGAAAAAAATCATACCTATTTTTTTATGTGAAGAATTCTGAATTTTTCTAACAAAAATACTCATTAATTAATACACAACCTTATAGATAAAAATCGAGTTTAAAGGTCTAAGAATAATTTTAGACCTCAGAGAGCCCCAAAATGATCAGATATTTCAAAACAAATAGAGTTTTGCATTGCGTTTTCCCGGATTTTCAGAAAGACCATAAATTCCCTCAGGAATTGAATACAAACGGCTTTAGAATTCACAAGAAAGCGATATCATCATGAATTAATGGAATGAAGTGAAAATTTGAATATTTTATCATTTGACAGTAGATGTGATTTCCCACTTTGTGTAGTTTGAATTACAAAGTATGACCTCTCAGTGACTTGTGACCATTATTCGGTGGCAATGTTTGAGAAATCATCAGTTACAGTGGAGCTGGCTTGCCAGTAAGTTATATATTTTAGGGACATTAAACCGACTGTAATGGTTAGGTGGGTGAGGTGTTGCTCCGGCAATCTAAGCAGCGTTGAGCTGGGTTAGTACTTGGATGGGTGATCGCTTAGTAGGTACGGTGTAGCGGCCTAGTGTCTCCAACTAGTCAGTGTAACAGATGGATATATTAGGGCACTGCACAATCGGCCGGCTGTGCGAATGGGGTTTTACATGGTTTCCCGTGCAGTCTCAGCTCGAATAATTTCTGAATAAACACACGTAATACACTGGAACGGATAGGGGTCAAACCATTACCGATCACAAATTTTCTGTATTACCGACCCAGATTCCCTACATTACCTACAGAAGTCGGCCAAATGCCATTCGGCATAAAATTTTTTAAACAGTTCTGGTGGGAAGCTTGGAAATTCATCCTCAGTTATTCCAGTCCAATCTATCATGGATTCCAATTTTTTTCATATCGACAGAAGTAACTTGATAGTATCAAGTATATTCACAGATAACTAATATTGATAAATTATGGGTAAAGAAATCTACATAGATTTGAAATGGAAATTCTCTAATGGAGAACCCATCGTCATGTATAAATGACGCATTCTTTCAAACAATAAAAAAGATATCAGTGTTGACGGTGATCTATGAAAATCTCAATTCCAGGGATTTACTATTGATATCTGATCTAAATTAACCACGACATTTTTGGACCCATCTGAATTTATCCATTTTGCTATGGCAGATATATGACTATTCAATTTACTGCTTCCCTTTAATATGGTATTTTCAGGGTTGTGAACTTCGCACGTAAAATATACTTGTCCACTTTTTAAAGAGAGCGTAAGTGAGGTATAAAATAGTATTAGTTGCATTCNAATTCATCCTCAGTTATTTCAGTCCAATCTATCATGGATTCCAATTTTTTTCATATCCACAGAAGTAACTTGATAGTATCAAGTATATTCACACATAACTAATATTGATAAATCATGGGTAAAGAAATCTACATAGATTTGAAATGGAAAGTCTCTAATGGAGAACCCATCGTCATGTATGAATGACGCATTCTTTCAAACAATAAAAAAGATATCAGTGTTGACGGTGATCTATGAAAATCTCAATTCCAGGGATTTAATATTGATATCTGATCTAAATTAACCACGACATATTTAGACTCATCTGAATTTACCCATTTTGCTATGGCAGATATATGACTATTCAATTTACTGCTTCCCTTTAATATGGTATTTTCAGGGTTGTGAACTTCTCACGTAAAATATACTTGTCCACTTTTTAAAGAGAGCGTAAGTGAGGTATGAAATAGTATTAGTTGCATTGTTTCCTTCGCATCACTAATTCTGAACTGCATATTCAAGCCACGAATGACCAAAATGATTGAGGTATTTTCGAAATAGCTACACCAATTATATTAGTCATGATGAGATTTCATATAGACGCCGAGTGAATAATCAAATTACGTTAGAAATAGTACTTGATTTAAGAATTTTTCAGTATAGTAAATGAGTAAAAACCTTGAACTTATAAATATAACAATTTTCTGCAATAGAATGCAAACAGTATAATTCTATGTATGCAAGAATTTTACTCTATATTAAAAAATTTTATTATATGATCAATTCAACGATTGGATCACTCCTCATTCTATTTCTCCAGGGGATTGTCCGCGCAACCTTCACTCTAATCAAGCGACCAGGGTTGGGCAAGTAAATTACCTTAGGTAAATTACATGGTTTTTGAACGGTCATAAAGTAGGTAAATTACCCGGGCGAGTTGTCGGTTTTTTGACCTGTCAAAAACCTATGTGGCGCCATCTATTAGCACCTTGGGGAACCGGGAGATTTTTACCGAGAATACCGCCTGTCAGAGTTACAAGGGTAAAAATTCGAAAAAATCATACCCACTGAGGTTATGCCTCGCGAGGTTCAATCGTCGCAAAGGTCATACCTCGCAAGGGTCAAACGTGACAATCATAACTTGCGAGGGTCAAACGTCACAATCATAACTTGCGAGCGTCAAATGATCATTAGCTGTTGCAACAAAGACCAAACGGAATAGTTTCAGATTATTTTTTCTTAATTCATGATCATTCCACCCTTGTCATTGTTCTGCCTTCAGGAAAGATAAGTTGAAAAATCGCAAGAGTTAAAATTAAGACGCAGGCAAGCAGGAAAATCACAAACGATCAAGAAACAATCACAAAGTAGGTAAATCATAAGGGTCAATCAGGATAACTAGGCCGTGACCTAGTGACCTGTTTGACCCTTGTGAACCTACTTGCTTTTTTTGTTTAAACTTTATGACCGTTGGAACCTT